CACATGCTAATTAATGTCCCACTTTACTGAATAAGTCCCACTTTAACGAAATAAAGCATTATTTAACAAATATTTTTTCACTTGCCTGAGTAGAGTTTGTTGAACACTTGGGCCATATACAAGTGAGACAACAATGGTACTACAACTCCCATCATCATTCACATGTGGAGTACAAAGTGGATATGATGCTATATATAATATTGGTATAGTGAGATTTTAATAGCTATCAGGTTGATTTTAATTTAGACCACTCACTTTTATATATAAATTAGGGTTTTTGGGCTAATTAATATGCACATTTCTGTATTTCATTTCATCTTCCATGCACTCACAATATAATCAATATATAAAGAGAATATTATATTATATTTTACTTTTATATTATTATATGAATGAATATATTATTAGAGTGGATTTGAAGTGGAGCCACAAATGTCACTCCAATTCCACTCTATTATGACTTGAATTTCAGATACTTTAAAAAGAAAAAAAGAATGAAACACTAAAATTCAATTGTCATTGTTAAGTGCTAACTTTAACTTTGTTGTCAACATGGGTCAAAAAGAACTCTAGACTTAGGGTAAAGGTTAACCTATCTAAGAGTGGTAGCATAATAGAGATTTTAAGGTAGCTCATGAGTAGTTGGGTGGTGAAAAACATTAGGAGAAGGTGTAATATAATTTAGGAAGACTAAGTCTTTTAACATTGGTATCAAAGAGAGGTCATTGTGATGGCTGACCAAAATGAATGCTAAAATTCTATTATCAATATTGGTGCTAATGATGGTGTCGATGGAGTTGTAGAGATTTAGATTATTCAAAATGTTATTCATGAGTTGTAAGCTTTTAATCAAAATCAGCAAAAGATGCAAGACAAGATGATGGATATCATGTATAGGCATGTTGAGGCACTTAAGGTTAGATGTGGTGGCACTCTAAGTAAGATTTCCTTGATGGATCGACTTAAGATTCCAATTTTTTCTAGTGATAGTGGTGTGGACAAGTGTTTAACTTAACTAGACAATGTGAAGAAGTTTTTAGTTGCTAAAGGAACTCTATATGCAAAAACTTTAGTGATTATTTTAATGGTTTTACGTGATATGGGTTTTCAATGGTGGAATTGTTTAAGGAGTCTTATGTTGTGGATAAAAAACAACTAATGTCTAACATAGATGAGTTTGAGGTTGTTTTTTGTTTATGTTTTGCCCCTTATTACAATGTAGAGAATGCTCGCATGGAACTTCAATATTTTTAGCAAAGGAAAATGATACTTGAGGATTATATTGAGAAGTTTATTCACTTAATTAGTTATATTCCAACAAAGGATCCATATCAAAACAAATTCTACTTCATTAATATCTTTCATAGTGAGAGCATATGGCAATATTTGCATCATTCTCAACTTATAAAGAATTTGGAGAAGTTATTTGATATGGCTTGACTTGACAATAATAAATATAAGTCTTCTAAGAATTTGAGAAGTCCTTATGTTGAGAATTGTCATGATGATTATTATGGATACAAAGATGGAAACAAACATCATAAATTGAAGTGTATGATGTCTATCTCAAATACAAAAGGGTGGAAGAAGTAGAAGTTTTTTATAAAGAATTATAAACAAAGTTGTCATTATTGCAGTAAGATTGGACACTACAAGGCTGCTTATCTATAGCTAAAGAACAAGTAATAAAGCAAAAAAAAAGGCCAATTTTCTAATGATGGCAAGTTGAATATTAAGAAGTTGTAAAATTTGTAATGTGAGAATGACAAAGAAGATTATTTTGGTCGGAGAAAAAAGATTTTGATCATTGCTCATCAACTAAACTATGTGTGGAATAAAATGAATTTTAAGGATATTTGTTCATTAACATTAATGTTTGAAGGTGTATTTCATGAAGGTTCAATATAGATTTTATTGGATAATAGGAGGGATGATAACTTTGTTTTAGCAAAGTTTGTTGAGAAGTACAACTTGGTGATATAAAGACTTCTTCCATTTAGTACTTTATATTATTGATCCATTAAAACTTTATAAAAAGGTTTTTTTTTAATTTGGTTTGCTAAAGGATATTGTCAATGATTGAGACTCAAAGTTCATCAATAGATTTTGGAAAAACTTTGCAAAAATTATATAAGTGACTTTGAAGCTCTCAAGTGGAAATTATCTTCAAACAGATAAGCAAACCAAACATGTGAATTAGGTGGTGAATGATATGCTACAATTCTATTTGTCTGTATTTTTTTAATTTTTGAAACATTATTTTCATTTAACATAAAGATTTTACTAGCTATTTTCTTGTCCAAATATTTTGATTATGTATACTCTGAATCTTCTGATTCTTTTTCTATTATAAATATTGGTAATGATTTGGTTTTCAGTCAATATATAGCATCTTGGCCTACATCATGGTTATTGCGCACTTCCCATTTTTTATGGCACTTAAAATCTAGATTGATTTGTATTTTTGGTTTTATGTTATTAATATCACTTATGCTAACTTTGAGCACTGGAAATTTTTTGAGCTCACTTTACTGCTGTAACTCTTCAGAATAGTACTTTTATTAACACTTCATTCCATCCCTTTTGTATTGCTGTTTACTCTTCCTTTAGCATATACTACCATAGTTACTAATCTTATGATAAATGATCAACATGCCTTTGAAATTACAGTTTGTAATTAAAATTGTTGTTTTCTTCAGTACTAACACTTTATGTTTCCAATAAACAATTCCCATGGTCACTTTGACATTAGTTGTGTGATCTAGTCATATAGCATATTTTTGCCAACAGCTTGAACATTGGAACTCCAATGTTCATGATTCCTGGACTATATTTAAAATGTCTGATAAGAACTTATTAATGGCAATGCAAGCCAATATGCCTGAATACACTTTAGTATACTCCACCAAACAAAATCCGGCTCAATTATGCTATGGGCTTCAATGAACTGAAACACCTATTGCCACCATATCCCCAAAAATTCATACGTTTCTTTCCAAGTGAGCATCAATAATCTAAGCATATCTTTTATTTGTTGCAATGGTAGCCCAATGCCATGCAGAACTGAATCCTCAGCAGTCAGATCAGCATTCCCGTGTATCAACCATGTCCCTTGGATTCCAGCCAAGAATGCGAGAGAAGAACTTCAGGAAAAGCGAGAAAACCTCAGCATACACGAAACAAAAGGTTCCAAGACGCGAAAATGCAGAGAAATCGCATTCGTCCAGCGAGAAAAACCTTGGGACAAGGAGAAAGTCTCGATATTTCTACCAAGACGCAAGAATGGAAATGGAGGTGAAATCCTACCTGAATCTCGCGAAGCCGCATCAATTTCCACAAAGATCGACCAGATTTCGAGCTTCGCTTCGGCGCCTGGTCGATCCATCAGCGCTCGTTGGGAGGGAAGTATCCAGTCGCCAGCTTAATCTCCGGTTGAGCCAACCCTAACTCTCTCTCTCCAAGAACCCTAAATAAAACCCCAGGGTTTTTTAGCTCCTCTTCGTCATGAGCATGGCGGCTCGGTTGCTCGCCAGGCGAACCAGCGCAATGCCGCCGGGGCTCGTCATCGCCAGAGGTATGGCCGTAGCTAGCAATCAGGAGAATGCGGCGGCGGCGGAGGAGTCGCTCAAGAGCTCGTGGTTCCAGAGGATCAAGGGCCTCTTCGTCCGTGACAAGCCAGCGGAATCAAAGCCGATGGAAGAATCGAAGCCACCGTTGCGAGCATCCATCGAGCAAGCGCCCAAGCCTTCCGAGAGTATGGCTTCTAAGATTGTCAACACTGTGAAATCGGCTGTAGCTCCAAGCGTCTATTCTATGGAAGGTAAGCTCTCTCTTTTTTTTCTTCGCTTGTTCATCGTTCTCTTTACTTCTCTTCCAGCCTTTGCTGACGAGCTCAAGAAGGCCCGGTACGCTGGCTCACTTGTCAAGGGCGCTTCCAAAGAACAAATCTCCGCTATTCTCGAGAAGCAAGAGAAGATGATCCGAGCTCTAGCCACTTACAAAACAGAAGTAAGCTCTCTCCACTCTCTTTCCTGATCGATGAAGCTTCCTTCTTTCTTGCGTTGCTGTGTTCTAAAGCTGCAAGCTAGTAGTCAGTGAAGCTTGCGTGATCAAGTTTCTTGCTCTACCTCTTCCATCTTTTGCCTGGTTTTGTTTGAAGCAAGGGACAAATCACTGGCTTGCTTGATCAAGTTTCTTGCTCTACCTCTTCCAGTTTTTGCCTGGTTTTGTTTGAAGCAATGTAGTCTGATTTCCAGGTATACAGATATAAACAATGGTGTGTTGGGTGGGGATTCAGCAAATTGGAGCATCGCAGGTGGCCGAAGTAGCAGTGAAATGTAAAGCCCGAGCTGAGGAGGTGGAGGACATTCTCTCCAAGTACAAGTGGACCAAAGAAGCTCACAGCAAGGTGGAGAAGCTGAGAAAGGAAGGGAAGCCTCTCCCAAAGAGTTTTGATGAAGTAAGAGTTTCTCTCCTTTGCGATGAACTGTGTGGCTGTCTTGACAAATGTTTTGGCCTTTCAAGGTGGAGGCCCTTATGGGTGGACGATGGAAATCGCCCAAGAGCGTCCCTATACTCAGTCGAAACCAGCTGTGCTCTTGCGGCTCTGGGAAGAAATACAAGCGGTATGGCTGTTCTTTGTGTTCTTCTCGCTGTAAACAGCCCAACTTTCAGGTGTTGTGGACAGACCGCAAGCATCTAGAACCGAATTTTCGCCATAGTTCTCCAGTATATTTCACGTATATGAAAAAAAACACTCCAAAGTAGATTTATCAGAGAGTTTTTTGGTTAACTCCTAAAAATAAAATAATTATTTAACGGATTTCGATTAATGTAATTCTAAACATGTTGTAAACTTCTCTCGATAGCTGGTTTTTACGACATGATGGATAGAGTTGCCCTAAAATCAACGGCTGAGATTTCGATAAGACGATTTTTGACAAATATATAATATGCATGGGATATTCTTTTTCTGGAAGAAGCATGACTTCTAGGGTTTCCCTCGTATTAGGGCAATGCCAAAGGCGCGCGGAAGCGAGGGAACGCTCGGAGGCGCCAGGCGGTGACTGCGGCGCACGATCGCTGCTCAGGGTAGGCCAGGGTAGGATCGATAGATGAGATCGCTTCGGCAATAGCTGGGGCGGCGCTTGAGATTTTCTCGCAGCAGCGATGGCAACGCATGGGCCGGAGGCTTTGTTTGGTGGATTCCGTGGAGCTGACGGCTCCAGGCTCAGGAGAATGATGGATTCTTCTTCGTCACAGCGGCCTGTTCGTCCTCTCAGGAAGAGAGGCATAAGAGTGGTGGTGCTTGACGAGGATAAGAATGCTGGACGGGAGAAATTTGCTTGCTCGGATGAGGAGGAAGACGACGATTGTAAAATCACTGGCTGTTGGTTGCCTCCAAAGAGGCGCCAGTCGAAGAGAGTCGGCGCCAAGAGGCCTGTGAAGTGGAACTCGGCTGTAAGTGACCACACTGCTACTACCACTACTACTACTACTACTACTGTCGATCTCTCAGACTGTGAGGTGGAAATCGGTGCTCACAGTGACATACGCAAGCGGTGGGAAGAAGCCGCCGAGAAGAGAAAGAGGTATCAGTCTTTCCCGAAGGCAGGGAAAGCTGGCGATGGCGTTAGCGGTGCTCCAAGCGAGAGAAAGCACTCGTCAGGGGACGAGAGCGCATCAACTTCAAGGTGGAACATCAATGAGTCGGATGATGTTCACGTCCAGTCGATGTTTCACGATCAGGTGGAACCGGAAGTTGTGTTTAAGGAGCACAGACATACGAAGAAACAAGGCGCTGCCAATGGAACGTCTGGGGTGTACCAGGCGAAGGGAGAGCCAAGTAGCGGCAATAAGAATTTATTCAGCAGGGAGTTCAAGGAAGAATTAAGGAGGTGCCAGAGCCCGTTCTCCAATGGATTTGGAGACACGAGGAGAACACCGCCATTGAAGAAGGATCATGGAACCAATAGCGAGACAGCTACACAGAGCCTGGCCGAGAATTGTACACCCTCAAGTGATATCGTGACGGACAAATGTGGAGCGTCGGAGTTTATTGCCGATCGCGAGAAAGTCAAGGAGTCTGACGAGTTCAAGAAGGCTGACGAGGAGGAGTGGCAACGTCGGCAGGAAGAGCTTCAAAAACAGGTTGGCTTTTTCTTTTGCAGTTTATGGTTGTATGTAACGCTCGGCATCTTGTCTTGTTTAGGCACAAGAGGCCCAGAGGCTCAAGAAAAGAAAGAAAGCAGAGGCCGAGCGACAGCTAGCAATGGAAAGCAGGCAAAAACAACGAGTAGAACAGATTCGCGAGAATCAAATACAGGTAAAGCTCTCTTTTGTTCTTTTCTTTCTGGTCTTGGCTTTGTCGCTCACGTTGGCTCGGCGTTTTGCAGGAAATGAAGAACAATGGAATCAAGGAGTTGATGCGCGGACAAATTCAGAGCGAGCTGGAGCGAAAAGTTGCTGGCTGCCTGGACATGGCCACGGTTCTACATCGTCTTGGGATCGCTGTGGAGGGAGGGGTTCAATGTACTCCAGAACAGGCATGTCTTTTGTCATTTGCTCGTAAGGTGGCGCATTTTTTTCCCTTTGTTTAACATTGCTGCGAATCACTTGTAGGTGAATGCCGCATACAAAAAGGCTATCTTACGGTTCCATCCCGATCGAGCCGCCGCCACCGCGAACAATGATCCTCGGCGACAGGTCGAGGCCGAAGAGACATTCAAGCTCATCACAAAGATGAAAACATCCCTACAGCTCGTTCCTGCTTCCCTCAAGCCGCGCTCGGCTCGCAAGTGATAGGTCCGGGTAAACAGTGGCTAACACATATATACAAAACTTTTTTCTTCCAGTTGGAGTGTCTTTGGCCTACTTGCGCAGCTTGTCATTGTCTTTGTCAGCTGGCTTTGAGTGTCAAAGATTCGTGGCTGGATCCAGCTTTACTAGATTAAAAGGGAAGTGGGGGTGGTAAGAAAGATCTTTGAGCTCTAAGAGTTTATTTTTTTCCAGGCCTCAAATATCTATGCAATCTATGACTTTGTCCATATGGGCTGACCTGCTGTTTTTGTTGTGTGCGAGTAAAGGTGGAGAGGCCGGGTTGGACTCCCTGTACGCTACTGGAAAATTTCCAACCTGAGCGAGCTACAGAGGCAGCAGCGAGCAGCAGTAGGAAGGTAAGCCTCCTTCAATGCTCTAGCTAGCTGTTTGTTTTTTCTTTTCTTTCCCTTCTTTCTTTGGTCCTCTGAATGCTGGACTACTAAACCATTTTGACGACTGGTCTCCTTCCAGGTGAACGGGAACGAACGAACGAACGAATGAACGAACGCTGCTCCCGTTTGGGGAATCGCGTTAATGCTGCTGCTGCGGACGGGGGGGGGGGGACGACTCGTGATCTCTCGCTCTCGCTCGCTCGCTGTCAAGGAGGTACGCTTTCTCGCGTTTCGACTTTTCAATTCTTTCTTACTTTCCTGGAGAGTGCGTCCTACGAATAGAGGAAGATCGTAGTCGTCTTGTTGGTGTTGTGAAGTGGTAGCTAGCGCAGTGTAGTTATTAGCTCGGGTACCAAGGAGATGTTTGGAGATGTTTGGTGATGTGATGGCATTTTGTTGTTTTGTTTGTGAGCGATGTTGAGTTGTGTTGTGTGTGTGCGTGTAATGTCCGAGAGAGAGAGAGAGAGAGCTAGAGAGCTCCAGAGATTTGAATGACTGCGCAATGCACACATGCACGCTCACAGGTTTGGAAAAGTCCAAAACAGTGGTCTAAAGTGATGTTTGGAAAGGGCATTATTGGTGGAGCACAGTCTAAGTAAATGCCAACAATGGCTACTTGCATAGATGGAGCAGCGATTTTTTGCTCTCTCTCTTCTGGTGGTCAGATTTCCTTTGTTTGGAGTGAAAGCTTTTTTGATTTCTCAACTCACTAGGCCTGGTCGTTCTAGCTTTCGCTTTGGACGATTCGTCTCCATTTGTGTTCCCAATGATTGTAACATTTCTATGATTGTTTTGATTGACACTGTTCCCTTGCAAGGAGGGGTGTGTGTTTTTGTCAAGAGAATCGCATGCGTGTATGTATGGTGTTCTTCCAAGCCTCTTGGAAAACAATTTGTTTCCTTTTGTTTGTTTACTTTTCATGGGGATGCTGTTGAGATTGGATCGAATGGGAGCTTGTAAACATCCATATGCTAAAATACTTTTCTTTGTTTTCTCCAGGAAGGTTAGTTGGTTAGTGTCACTCACGAGATACAATGTGATATATTGCTGTTGGAAAGCTTCCACTTTCACACATCACCTCATAAGTTCGTATCCATCCATTTCCATCCAAGCATGCAATCTTGGGCCAATAAATTTATAAATCGCTAAGATCGGCCTCTATACAACTCCATGCTGCCTACCAATGACGTAGCAAAGCTCTGTAAACTTCCAAAGCAAACCAATCCGGATACACTCAAATCCCTAAGAAAAAGTTTAAACACTTTATATAATTACAATTATTATTATAAATATTAATCTATTATTTGTGAAACAAACAGAATCATTTTGAGTCGGTCAATGATCAAGCAAAAAAGGCCCATAAGATTTTTGGGGTGAAAACTTTAAAGAGAAGAGATCGCTCTTGGAGATCACATATCTATTTGTACTGGAGCACTCTAATGCTGCAGGTGACCCAGCCAAAGGGAATTAAAGTGGAGGATAGATCTTGTGTGCATGGATGGGTTGGAAAGTGTTTTGTGTGGAGTGGAAGTGGTAGGACTTTATAATTGGTGGCTGCTGCTGCAAAGTCAATTTCCTTTGCCCACATTCATGTAACTTTGCATCTCTCAATCATATATATAGCACCTCTTGTGGAATTTATGGAGTTCCTGATCAAAAGTATATAAAGAGCTTGACTTGTGCCCAACCCAGCTGTTGACATTGTCTTTAGACAGCAGAAGTATTCACTGGCTTTGACTTTTCACCACAGTGCAGGGATTTACAACTTGGAGCAAATAAAAAACACTACAAGCCATCCAGCAAAGATTTCTAGTGTGTGTTGTGTTGTGGTTGTTTGAATCTTTTGCTTTTTGTTTCTTTCTTTCCAAGAAAATTTTCTCACTGCTAGGAGTCCTTGTCTACTAGACTTTGGCTCTAATTCATAGACTAGAAGATCAAAAAAACATATGAAAGGAGTTTGGGGGGCATGTTTTTGGTATGCTCTCCCTCTAGAAATGACATGCACAACAGCACACCTGATAGCAAATAAAAGCATAAAAGCTCCATCCATTTCAATGTCAATACACATAATATTCGTCAACAATTGCAGGCAGGCAAGGAGGCACTGCTCAAGTAACAGCAGTAGCAACAGTGGGACTGGAAGAAAGCTACATTCTAGGAGTAAGAAGACACATATACAGCCCGTATGTAATTATATTTGAGAAATAGAATATAAATTCCCAGTAAATCAATTAGTAACTTCTCTGTTCTCTCTCTCTCTGTGTTATGTTTGTCTAAAGTGCTCTTTTGAATGTTCAAACTTGCAGTACACTAAAGGTGTGAACGGTGGTTAATATGTTATATTAAGTAGGAAAGTGGTGGATCCAGGAACAGGCATCAAAAGAGGACAATGACTAGTCTCAGATTTATATATCAAAAAATTATTATTTAATATTTGAAGAGAGAGATTGACATCAAAATAAAATTTTGAGATCTTATTTTCCATACTAAATAAAAGTGTGCGTGCCACCACCGTACCCATCTAAAGCATGAGGAGGAATCGATGAAAAACACACGCGCTCCTGAAAGGGTCCAGTCCAGTCCAGTCCTGGAAGGAAATCCTTACTACTTTCTCCACCACTGGAAAGAATTGAATTGAAGCTTCCAGTTTTTGCGATCGAAAGAGATCGCGTGTACGTATCCCTGTACGAGGGTCTACGTATACCACAGGGAATTTTAAAGCATCTTGAAGCGGTAGGCCGGACGCGTAGCTGCCAGTAGGTGGCGGTGGCCATAATTTAAGTTTTGGACAAGTGCATACAGATCTCTAGCTTAGCCATCTTCGGGGAAAATGGCCAGTGGCCCATGTGACGGGTCACTGTGGCTCATGCAAACACTATCAGATACGGTAGGGCTTTTGGGCCACAGTGGTCCAAATCTCGGTAAACATTACAAGAATGTGGCGATCATATATGCGTGCCCAATGATTAAGAGTCATACGTAAGACAAAAAAGGCTCTTTTCTTTTTTCCCCATTTTTATTTTTATTATTTAGAGATCTTATATAATGAAAACGTATCATATAATCACAAGCGAAGTCTTTGGATTCGTGTAACTTTGATTATAATCTCAAGTGTTGGTCGTCTAAGCTCTTGGATTGTTAATTTACTGAATGGACCATTGGATCATGCCATGCAATGCTTGATCTATCATAGCTTCTAGACTTAAATCTCCATTCTCTCTTGTCTAAGTTGTTCCCAGCCAATATATATCTCCCTTATACTATTGCATTGCTCGATATAAAGAAGTGTTCTTGGCTATTTTCTGCTCGGTCTTGCGGTGGTTTTTTTCTCGACTAGTATAGAGCGTCGCAGCGGCGGCCCTTTCCCCTGCTCTTTCCTTGTTTAATTCGGCATAGATCCATCCCGTGATTCGCAAAATCGCTCTATCGATCCAACAACAAGTATATATATTGCGTGGCCAGTCCAATCCAACAAATTTGCTCGTAGCTCTTTTGTTTCTTTGTTGTTGTTGCTGGCTGCTGGCCAGGGTTTAAACTCTGCGAGCACTGCAAGGCCTTCCCGAGTGTGTGTCTCAGTGAAAGATGGGAGAAAAAAAACTCCACTCCACTTCTCTCCACGCATAGATACAACCGGAGTGTGTAAAGCTAGTTTTTCGAATAGTAGTAAGCAGCAGTAGAAGAGGAAGAAGGAGAAGGAAAGAAGAAGAAGAAGAAGAAGATTTATATTGTTTTTGCTTTGGGAAAGGCAAGCCATGGTGGCAATTGTGGCGAGTGTTTTTGCGTTAGTGGCGATGGTGGCTGGAATGTGGGATGCTTTGTCTCAATGGGGCATTTTGATATCACTCGCGAGAGCTTGGAGGCGCGAGAAGAATGCAAAGCTTCCAAGAGGCAACTGGTGGCTTCCCTGGCTTGGAGAGAGCCTCGACTTCTTCTGGAGGAGCCCTGACGATTTCTACAAGACAAGATTCTCAAGGTCCATTGTCAAAGTTCCAACCTTTTCTCCAGAAAATCTTCTCTCTCCTTATGATCTTCTTCTTTTTGTTCTTCTCTCTGTCTGGATGGTTTCTTTCGAATTCTCATGTTGGAATTTTGGTGGTGGCACAGATACGGGAGTATCTTCCTGTCACACATATTTGGGAGCACGACTATTGTGACATCAACTCCAGAGGAGGCCAAATTCATACTTGGAACTCGCCACAAGCTGTTTCGTGCCAGATACCCGACCTCAATCGACCGGGTGCTCAATCACCCCTTTTGGGAGGGCGATTTCCACTGCCGAGTCCGCAAAATTGTCCAAGCCCCCATGATGCCCGAGGTGCTCAAATCCCAAATCTCAAAGTTTGATAGCTTGGCAACTTGGACTCTAAACACATGGTCTCACGGTGATCATGTGATCACACATGCCGAGACTCGAAAGGTATAGTCTTTCTAAAATCCATCCTCGGCTCCACGATTCCATATCCCAAAGTTCCCTCACGAATTCTTCTCCTTTCGATGATGCACGAACTTAAAGAGAAAAAAGTGGGTTTTAGCTGCATTGTTCTTTTCCCTTTCATCATCCTCGTAGAAGGATTGATCGAGTTTCATGAATGCAAGAAAACAATGCATTGATCTAGTTTTGATGTTTGGCTGCAGTTCTCGTTCCATGTCGCACTCTACTTGGTTTGCAGTTTGGAGCCATCCGCGGAATCTATGAAAATGCTCGACGACTACGAATGTGTTGCGAAGGGAGCGATTTGCTTCCCGCTCAACGTCCCAGGAACAGGATTCCACTTGGCTCTCAAGGTGAAAACCATATTCGATTACATTATTTCATTCGTTCTCACATATATTATTCTTAAACCTTGACAGAAGAGCAAGGTGATACTCGAAGCACTGGACAATATCATCGCCCGGAGAAGGATGGAGAGAAGCGTCCACAACGATATATTGAGCTCGCTCCTCAACTCCAGCGATGAAAACGGGATCAAACTCACCACCGACCAAGTCAAGAATGTTCTCATCACTCTCCTCTTTGCGGGGCACGAGACGACGGGGGTCTTGCTCGTTTGGATCGTCAAGTACTTGACAGAGAATCCTCAAGTTCTCCATTTGGTCAAGGTAAATAATTTCCATCCATTTTAATTCTTTTTTTTTTTTGTATATTTTTAAAAATATTTTTCTTTCCAGGAGGAGCAAGAGATCGTCAGGCAGTCCATGGCCGATGACAAGCAGCCGCTGGCGTGGGCAAACGTACGAAACATGCCGTACACGCTCAAGGTATTTAAAGAGATCTGCTACTCTTGTTTGTTGGAACTTATGCCTCGCCCGAATCGTATCTAAATCTTGTGAGAAAACAAATGCAGGTCGTCCAAGAGACCCTTCGCCTCGCAAACGTCGCACCATTCTCTCCACGGGAAATTCTCGAGGACGTGGAATATAATGGTATCAAAAACCTTCACTGCAATACACTAGTATACTTATTTGTTTCTCTTTTTTGGCTGCTTTAGGCATCTTGTTTCCCAAAGGCTGGAGGGTACAAGTGTATTATCGCCACTTCCATCTCAATCCAGAGTACTATAAGGAACCTCTAAAGTTTGATCCATCTAGATTCGAGGTAAGGAAGAACATCATACTCAATACCTGTTGAATACTAATTCTTGTATACTAAATTATCATTGTTCTCTTTGTTGTAGGTGCCCCCAAAGCCAATGGTGTACACTCCATTTGGGAATGGAATAAGGCTTTGCCCAGGGAGTGAGCTTGTAAAGCTGGAAGTACTGATTTTCATTCACAGGCTGGTGACAAACTACAGGTATATTATGGTTTTAACTTTTATTTAAGAGAAAAAGTGAGGAAAATAAAGAATTTTGAGCACTTCTTTCTTTTTGGTCAGTCAAAGCTTTGACTCCAACTTGGTTCTGATCATTTTCTTTCCCTCTTTGGTTTTTCAGCTGGCATGCAGTTGGAGCTGACAAGGGAATTCAATACTGGCCAACTCCCAGACCAAAAGGTGGCTATAAAATTAAGGTCCACAGCCATGCCCACTCATCATTCTCACAAGAGCAACTATAATAGCTAGATCCAGTTCAAGGACCAATGGGAGAGAGAAGAAAAAGGCCAAAAAAACGAGGAGAGAAGCTTCTTACGATTGATCGATAGATTTTTCGGTAGCGAAGATCAGTTCGCCGCTCGATTCGTTCCGTCTAGGCTAGAGAAAGAAACTTGGAAACAATAATCCCACTGTAAGTAAGAGGAATTCAAAGAGGCCAGGCGAAAGCAAGCCTGGAAGTTTGAGTCTCATCATCTCTGGGTGTGTCTCGCTATAAAAGAAGAACCAAACAGAGAAAAAAAGGAAGAAATAGGCCGGACCTCAAACTGGAATCAATGACGCGAAGGCAGCCACCAGTGGAATCCATGTGGTTGCTGCGTCCTTCAGACACCAACATGGTACCATTCTTTATATCTTTATTCGCTCGTTCTCTCCTTTTTTTTTTTTGCCTGGCTGAATCGAAGGACACACCAAGTTGGCCACTGAAAGCAAAGGAGTGGAAACGTTTCTGAGATTGAGGTGACAAAGCAGCAAACAGGGAATACGCTGTCTTTGTTCTTCCTTACGACGTTGTTGCCAGGGACGAGTTTTGGATCAAGCGGTAGTACAGCAGCAACATTGTCGCAATGCAAGACCTGGAAAATGGAGTGAGAGGAAGAAAAGGAGAAAGAAGGGCCTGTGTCATAACTTACAGGATCGCAAAAACGAAGAGGATGTTTCTCGGATCAACGGTTGAATGCCGGTGATGGCGACGACGAGAGTGAAGCTCGCCACGGTCTTCATCGCCATCTTTCCGCAGGTTGGGATTTGTCACTGGCAAAGTTGGCAATGTGGGGGACCAAAACGGTAGGATGTGCGTCAAAAGTTGCTTGTAGAAGGGCCCTGGTGGAATCAATCAATCAAAAAACGAATTTCCTTCGAGCAGAAATCCAGCTTACCACGGCGGGCATATTTTCTACTGATTGCGTCCTCGTCGTCACCATCATCGTCGATGTAAGGCATTGATCCTATGACGACCTTCTCCGGCCGGTAGGAATTTTTCCTTGCTAGAGAATTTGCCTGGAACACACGCAGAAAGAATCAGTGCCCATGAAAGCAAAAGACAGGGAAAGCCTGACCATTTGGGACGAAACATTGGGAGATGGGGAAGTATTTGCAGAGGTGGAGGCCACTGGAGCAGTAGATGACGGCTCATCCACAGCAGATATCTCGCTCACTGTCGAGACAGGTTGGTGGCCTTCAAGCGCGCTCTTCTCCGGGATCCCGATGGTAGAGACGAGAGGCATGGACGAAAACGCTGCCGGTGCGGCATCCGGATTCGTCAAGTCACCTCCCAGCAAAGTTCCTGCGAGGCCAGCCTGCAACGTCACAGTTTTTATTCTCAGTTAGAGACAGAATTCGAGAATTTGCTAAGAGTTACCTGTGCTATCGCTTCCCTGAGCTTCAAAGGAAGACCAACGTTGAAGTTTCGAAAGTTCTTTGGCGGTGGAGGCCAAAGCTGATTCAAACGAGTCAAAGCTTAAACCCATAGCTTACGAGACCGGAATAAAAAAGAAGAAGAAATTCTTACCGGCAAGCCACACTCTGGACATCCATAGCCAGCCGGGGCTGTATGATCTGGGAAGCTCTTGAGGTGTGACTCCAAGCAGGAAGAATGCAAAGCATCTGTAGAAGAGAAGTTAAGTCGAAGCAAAGACAAAAGAAGAACTCACGTAGACATCCCAGTCTGGACACCGCTTGATCTTCACGAAGCTCCTCATCACAAACGCTACATTTTGGAGGCCACGAGTAGTCAGGGTCGATCACCCACTCGGGATAAGTTCGCACCTAAAAGATTCCCATCACAACAGCCGCTGTGAGAAGAGATCGCTAGCTGGAAGAGGAAAAATCGATCTACAGAGCTCGCGCGCTCACTCACTCACTCACCACGCAAATCTTGTGCTGATCCGCGCACACGCATTCACCGCAGAGCGCGAGAGAGTGGCAATAGCAGTAGATTCGCGTGGCCTGCCGCGCCCCTGGATGGATTGAGTTAGAGATCCTCGCAGAACGAGGACAGGACTCACCTTGCGGCACGCGCAGACCACCATCGCGAATCGCCGATCGCCGATCGCCCTAAAACACGAAACCCTAAAGAGCCCTAAAAACAGAGCATTTCAAATGTTTACTTTTCCAAGGGCTCTAGATCTTGGAATTTTAGGGCTAGGCTAGGGTTTGGGCAGAGAAGGGGGAAAGGAAGATGATGGAGGGCGCCGTGGAGGCAGATCCAGTGTCCACTGCTGCGCAATGGCGGAGCTCCGTGTCGCGCAAGCTCCAGCAGGTGTTGGATCGATGGACGCCATTCCCGATGTGGCGCTGGCTGGGGACGCTGGTGGCGGCGTCGATCTATGGCATCAGGGTGTACTACCTGGAGGGATTCTATGTCATCACGTACGCTCTGGGGATCTATCTTCTCAATCTCCTCATCGGATTTCTCTCGCCGCAAGTGGATCCCGAGTACGAGGGCCCGGTTTTGCCGCACATTGTCAAGGAGAGCGATGAATTCCGGCCGTTTATGAGGAGGCTCCCGGAATTCAAGTGCTGGTAAGCTGGAATTCTTCTTCTTTTGTGCGAAGAGTGTCATCTTTGCTCGATTCCTTGCTCAAGGTCTGATTTTTTCTCCATCTTCTTGCAGGTATGGCTTGACGAGAGCTATCGGCATTGCTTTCGTGATGACCTTCTTCCCGATATTCGACGTTCCAGTGTTTTGGCCAATCCTGGTGATCTACTGGGTCGTGCTTTTGTTCCTCACGATGAAGAGACAAATACTTCACATGGTGAAGCATAGATACATTCCATTCTCTATCGGTAAACAGGTAAAAACCATTTTATTTTCGTTCCGTCTCGTGGAGTAAAAGTCTGATTTTTTTTTCTGGTTTCGTGTTGTTTTGGTTGATTCACAGCGCTACAGCGGGAGGGCATCGTCTTCTGACAAGGCAAGCACTTCTACAGATTAGAAAAAAAAAAAAATGGTATCCAAGCTCGAAAAGAATGCATTTCGATTCATTCATTTCATTCGCTCGCCAGTCTTAAACCAGTCTTAAACCATAGCTTGCTCTTTCTTTCCAGTGACAACCAGCCGATCTTACATCGAGTTTTTCTTGCTTTGGCTCTCAGGAGGAAGACCATCCCGAGACTCCCAGTTTTGATGAATCTAATCACGATGACGACCAGGCCTGATTGATCGATCGCTCGATCCATCCAATCTTCTCCCGCGAGAAGATTAAAAATGGATCTCTTTTGTAAAGCTGTGCTTCTATAGGAGAGAGGAGAAGCTCCACTTTCACTCTCTTCTATCTGTTAGAACAAAACCATAGTTTTGACGCTCTTAAGTTTCGAGCCCCGGACCGACATCGCGCTGCCTACGTGGAACAGCGACCTCTGTACGGCACCAATGGCGCGCGAGCTCTTCGTACGGAGCCTTGGAGGAAAGCGCAGCATAAATTCCAATGGAGGCCGGACTGTTTATCCGCCGCGACGAGAGCTCACAGGCAAGTTTAAAGTCGGTTGTTTTGAGGTGAATCCATGCATAAAAGTTCCTCTTTTGGTGGTTTTCTTCCAGGCAGGAAGAATGGCGGCTCTAAGTTGCGGCTTTCACTTGTCCGGATCTTCGCCCTCGTCGTCGCAGCTCGCGAGAAGAATGCTGGAATTCAGTGGCAGGACGAGAATCTGGCTGAGGAGGAGCTCCTTTGCGCAGGTATTTGTTTCTCTCCTCCATTCCTAGCTACCAAAGTTCCTTTTCTTCTTGCGTTCTTGCTGGCTATGGTGACAGAGTTTATCGGAAACTTACAGGCACAGCCAAAGACGTCGGCTCCTCGGCCCAGCGTCATCAGGGCGTTCTTGGTTTCCGACGATCGAGCAAGATCGAAGAGCTCTCCTGCGCCTTCTTCCGGCAAGAGCAGTAATCTATCGGCTTTGCGAGTGAGTCAGCTCAAGAAAGTTTTAGATGCAGGCGGTGTGGATTACCGTGACTGCCTCGAGAGAAAGGAGCTCGTCGAGAGGCTGGAGAAGACCAAGAACTTCATTCCTCCTGCTGCGAAGAGGCTGCTGCAACAATACCTCGAGGGCGCTGAGCCTCCGCCGCATCTCTCTTACGAGCTCCTCCATGGCTCTTCACCCCCTGTAGAAGGTAAGTCTTTTTCTTTAGCCATAGTTTTTTCTTTTGTTTGCTTGCGTGAGGCACGACTTTGCTCGACGTGTTTATCTGTTTGGAGGTTAGACTTGTTCGCAGTACGACTTTGGACTCAAAAATTCTCTTTTTTCTCACAGATTGGTGGCTAGACGCCGAGAAGAACAGCATAAAACTCTTCCAAGACTGCAGCCCCTCCGTGGCTCACATCACAACGCTTCGACTCGGCAAAGATATGTCGATGAATCCCGTTGAGATCCCTCGAGGAACTGGCAGTGGATTCGTGTGGGACAAAGATGGTCATATCGTCACGAACTATCACGTCACCATGAACGGCGAACGAGCTCGAGTAACACTCTCAGATGCCAGCACTTGGGACGGAACTCTGGTTGGATATGCGAAGAACAAGGACCTCGCAGTGCTCAAGATCTCGGCACCGCCATCCAAGCTAAAACCAATCAGCGTTGGTACTTCACAGGTACTCCTCACTTCTATTTTGTTTTCTTGTTTTTCTTCCCAGTTCTTGACAGTTTCTACTTGATCCAGGGACTCCAAGTTGGCCAACACGTACTCGCGATTGGAAATCCTTTTGGACTCGACAGAACACTCACGAGTGGAATTATCTCCGGTGTCGGCAGAGATATCAGAAGCATCGGTGGAAGGATCATTCGTGGTGTGATCCAAACCGATGCTTCGATAAATCCTGGAAACTCTGGAGGGCCTTTGCTGGATTCACAAGGACGACTGATAGGCGTGAACACTGCGATTTACTCGCCGACCGGGGCCAGCGCCGGTGTTGGCTTTGCGATCCCGGTGGACACCGTGCGAAGGGTGATAAACCAGATTATTCGCGATGGGAAAGTTGTGAGGCCGGGCTTGGGGATTGTTTGTGCGAGTGAGAGCCAGACGAGGCAGCTGGGAGTGACTGGAGTTTTGGTGCTGGGATTATCTTCAAACGGTGCTGCTGCTCAAGCGGGTTTGAAAGGTTTGTGAGACACACAACTTTGGTGGTTTTTTTTTGTTTTTTCCATCTTAGAAACTTCGGTTTCTTTGCGTGGCAGCTACGTCAAGAGATGAGAATGGAAGATTGGTTCTTGGAGACGTCATCGTTGCTATCAATGGCGAGGTTCGTGACAAGTCTCTTTCTCTCCTTGTTTAAAGTTATCTTTCTTCGCAGGCCGTGAAAACCGTGGAAGATCTTCTCGCACTGATCGACGAGCGCTGCATCGAAGAAGTCGTGAGGGTAAGCAGCTCTAAATTCTCCTCACTCCTCTCCAATTATACTTCGCTTCCAGGTGAGCGTCAAGCGAGGGAGCTCCATACAAGACTACTACATAACACTCGAGGAGCTAGAAGAATAAAAGAGATCCACGAAATGGAAGAAGAAAAAAAGGAGAAACCTTTGTAAGATACTATCACGTTGTAAAGAAAGACCGAGCAAAAAAATGGAGAAAAAAAAAAGATTTTTGCTGTAAAAAAGAGTGTAGTTTTGTGAAAAAGAGAGTGTAGAAGTAATTTTCGTGATAGAGAGGAGAGAGCCTGTAAATTATCACTTGCCCTGTGAGGTAGAGTCAGAGGCTGTGGTAGCGGCGGCGGCGGCGACGGTGGTGGCAGTGGTGGCGGTGGTGGTAGCGGCGGTAGCTGCAGTAGCGGCGGCGACGGAGAAGCCCGAGTGGTGGGAGTTGGCGGCGGCGGTGGCGGCAGCGGCAGCGGCGCTAGTGGCGGCGGCGAGAGCAAAAGCTTCGTGTATGTGCGCGAGCTGGGCCTGGAGACACGCCACCCTTTGCTGGAGCACGGAGATGACACCGACGCAGCCATAGATTGGATCTTTCACTCGCATGTCCGCCTCGTACGCCAAAGTGTTGACGCAATCCTCGCGGAAGCAGACGGGGAGCTCGTTGAGCATCTTGCTCACGTTGGAGACGCCGAAGACCTTGTGAACGTTGGCGAAGCGCTCGGGCTGGTCGGGCGGGAAGTATGGCGCGAACAGGCACTCGGGCGTGCAGCGCCGCCGGAGGTTTCGGCAAGCTGCGCAGGCGGAGGTGGCGCTCGACTGCTGGTGCTGGTGGTGGTGGTGGTAGTGGTGGCTGTGGTGGTGATTTTGAGTTTGGTGGTGATTTTGGAGGTGGAGGGAGAGATTTTGGTGGTGGGAGGAGAGATTTTGGGGGTGACTTTGGAGATTTTGGTGGTGGTGGTCGTGCCGCTGCTGCTGCTGCTGCTCCGACATCTTTTTTTACTTTGTCTTTTCATCCAACTCCCGGCATTTTGCGCGACCAGCTTCCGCAGCTTCAGTTGAAATGTCAGTTGATTGGCCACTGAACAATAACCGTTTCAAAGCCTTCGTTTTTCCCTCTTTTTTGTTTACTTATGCTGATTTGTAATTATAATTTCACTTTAAATGAAATAAATAAAACTACATTTGCTCAGTCACAGTAGCAGTCACAGAAGATATTGGTGATATATCAATGTATTCTGCCACAATATATCAATGTATTCTGCTGTTTCATCTGATTAAACAACATAAAGAAACTTCATTTTTTACAAAAGCCCTATTTCTTGGTGTTTTGTATATCAAAATTGTATGTTTTTACAGTTTAGTTACAAAATTGCATGTAAGTGATCTCTTAATAAACAGTTTGTCATACCTTATTTATACATTGTAATTTAGTCTTTTTTGGCTTTATCATTATAATTTTTAATTGTTTTTCTTTCTGCTTTCCTTTCACACACTATTTCCCAAGTTTTGGCTGCTGGAAAACCAATTTTAAACTCATCTTCCTTGCTTTTGCTTGATCCTGGAGCTCTTTCATCATCAATTCGTGTTGTGAACTTGATAAATTCCTCACTACTCAAGGATGTTTCTTCACTTTTCGCAAAAACAACCTCTTCTCAGAGTCCATGTTGAGCAAATGCAAAATAAGTCTTTTAACTTCGTCACTCACACTTATTTAGTTGAAAGAACTCATTAACAAATCCTTTAAACATCTCAATCTCTTCTCAATTTCCCGTGATGCCAGCTTTGGAAATGCACACTTCCCGGACAACATCTCATAAAGGACAATCCCCACACTCCACACATCAACCCTCTCATCATAAACACGGTCAAGAGATGACATCTCAGGAGCCCTATACCTCTATGTCCCAACCATCCCCCTCATGATTATAACTGGTGGCAACCCCTTCTTTGAAAACCTTGATGATGTTCCAAAGTTTGCCAATTTTACATTCCCAAACAAGCTCTTCCCAAACCCTAGAAGGATGTTTCCAGGCTTGATATCCCTGTGAGCAATGCCCCTCCTATGCATCTTGTGCACCGCGTTGGTCACATGCTTGATCACAATTACAGCTTCATGCTCGTTAAGCCTCTTTTTTTTTAGTAGTACATCCTTTAGCAAGCACTGGCACAACTCCATGACAAGGTGGTAGTAATCCTCATCCTTGAAAACCTCCACAAGCTCAGGTACCATGGCTCCACTATTGCTCTTCGTTTTACGGTTACTTGATCCATGATCTAAGCTAGACATGTTTGAGAGATGCACCAGTGCCTCGATCTCCACCTCAGCTTCCTCTCGCAGGCCTCCATCCGGGAGTGTGTCATTGATGATCAAATCCTCGCTTGGGTAGTTGCTAATTCGATTTGATCTAACTTACCATCTGCCTTACGTTTAATCTTATACATGATAGCTTGGCCACCAAGCTCTTCCTCTAAAAATCGTTTATATCACTCCCCATCGTCATTACTATTTGTCCTCTTTTATCAAAATACTCTAACAAAAAGGATTGTGTAAACCCTAACAAAAGGATTACCCTAACAAAAAAGATTGCGTAAAGGCAAATATATTTCTCCATACTTTAAAAATAAAAAATATATTTCTAGACAATAAATAACTTTTAATTTTCTAGAAGCCCGCGGGGGAGCCATGCTTCCTGTAGTCACTGACGCCGGTGATCCTCCCAAAGTAGACAGTGCTGTTATTAAGAGAGGGCTTGTGATTTATGGCCGGGACGTGAAGATCGTGGAGGACGAGCTGCGTGACGCAGTAGCCTGTCGTCTCCACAACCTTGTGCTGCCTCGCTGACAATCCATCTCTGATCACCTCTGGAACTTCCACGAGCTCGTTTGTTACCAGCGTCCAGTCCTCGCATTCGACCTCGTTTGGGACAAGCTGCAAGGCAAACAAAGAGAAAAGTTTCAGCGAGGAAGAGAAACGTTTTCCTTCCCCGACCTGGTGGTGGACGCGCGGAGTCGTGACCGAATGCAAGGCGTCCTTGCCACGAACGAAATAGTTTAGAAAGACTTGAGCAACGCCAGTGATGATTTTAATGCCGCCGCTTGCCCCTAGCACGGCTCTCAGCTGTCCATCCTGCATTGTTTAAGTCAGAGATGGCGTTTCGGGCATACAAAGGCTAAGAGAGAGCATTTACCTGCAAAACTATAGTGGGGGACATGGATGAAAGTGGTCTCTTGTTGGGGGCGACGAAGTTCACTTCGGCCGGAGGGAATTCGCCTCGCTCCACGGCTTTCGGAACAGCAAAATCGTTCATTTCGTTGTTCAGCAAGATACCCGTGGATTTCGAAAGCAGCATGGATCCAAATCGCCAGTTCACCGTGGTAGTCATTGACAACGCATTCCGATCCTGGTCGATGATTCCAAAATGGCAAGTGCCGTGATCCACCAGTTGGTTCCATCTATATTGATCAATGCACCTAATGGTCAGCAAAAGGAACGGAGAGAAACTTTCTGCTTACTTGCTTCCATAGTGCTCTGGCCCAAAGGTTGTGTTATCCAGAATAGACTTGTAAAGCTTCACGGCAAAGTCGGGAGAAAGCATGTCTTGCATTACACGCGAGATGTTGGCAAAGCCCGGATCTCCAAGGTTCATTCGCACCGCGTAGGCGTGCTTGAAAGCCTCGACGAGCCGGTGGTAGAATAAATCATCCGGCACGGAAGCGAGATCGTCAAAGTTGGAGAGGATATTAAACATCTGCACGTCAAGTGTGAGCAAAGAGACAAAAGAAACATTCTATAAAAAAATGGAAAGATACCAGTGCTAGCGTAGCCCCTCCCGAAGATGGAGGAGGCATTCCAAGAACAGTGAGTCCCATAACATCGCTTGTCACAGCTTCTCTAACGGCAGTTTCGTAGTCTCGCAAGTCGTCAATCGTGATAATTCCTCCAGCTGCTTGGACGTCCGCTGCTAGCTTCTCGCCGATAACACCACCGTAGAGAACACCCGGCCCTTCGTTGGCAATCAGCTCCAGCGTCCTGGCCAGCTCCTCGTTGCGAAGAACATCACCAGCTTTCACCAGCTTCCCATTCGGCGAGAGGAACTGTCGAAGCGTTCTGTGGGCTAGAATCCCCTTGAGACTCTGAGCAATCTCAAATTCCAGGTAAGCTGTTACCACGAATCCATCCCGGGCTAGCTTGATGGCCGGCTCGAAGAGCGATTTCCAGGGCAGCCTTCCAAAGTGCTGCCACGCGAGGTGGAGTCCAGCGAGCTCGCCAGGAACTCCCGCGGACAAAGCACCATCGACTTTAGAGGATGGGTTCTTTGCGTACATGTCCTGGAAGAAAAGAGAGAGGAGTTCTTCGTGGATGGAATGTAATGAAAGAAAGAAAGAAAATTCCAAGTACCTTGGATGCCGCGGCTGGGGCGGTCTCGCGCATGTCATAGGCGATGGCGGAGCCATTGGCGAGCCGCAGGAGCAAGAACGCGCCGCCGCCAATGCCACTGGACATGGGATTGACGACGCCCTCGCAAACGGCCGTGGCCACGGCAGCGTCGACCGCATGGCCGCCCCGGGCAAGCGCATCCCTTCCGACGATGGAGCAGCGCTCGTCGTCCGACGCCACGACGCCATTGTCCGCCTCGCAGATCTGGCCGCCGCCGGCGCTCGCTAGCGATCGTATTGGCAATGGCGCCAGAGAGTCCCTCGCATCGATGATCTTGACACCAAGAACCACGATCGCGATGGTAGAAACAGCTGCGACCACATTCCAGACAGATATTTCGATGGAAATTTCGACCAGGAGCAACGAATCTCTCCATTCTTACCAGCGACAAGCACGCCAAGAACAGTGAAAATCCTTGGTCGCTTGGAATCCATGAGAGATCGGCTCGCGCGAGCTTGGATTCCTCGCTCGCCAAGGAGCGCCTCGTCCATTGCTCGTCACATGCAAGGCAAAAAATTTCTCAAATAGGGCCTTTTAAGTTCGAATCCCGGGACTTACAAGGTCTCAAGTTCGAATCACGAGGACAAATAAGATCTCAAGTTCGATTCTCGAGAAAATTTCCGGAGTAGTTCCGTTTCTCTAGAGAAATTTTTAATGTTCTTGGTCGTTCCAAATTAGTAACATGTTTTATTTGGTCTGGCCATTTATCGTTGGCGTCCGAAAGCTTTGGATAAGCTGATATCACAGGAGACGACATTGAGCTCCAGCATGGAGTCGCCAATGCAAGGTACTTATGGTTTTATATTCTTGCTGATGCCTGGGAATGGATGTTCAGGAGCACAAACCAAGGATTATAAACTTCATCGTGCCAGCAGTCATACTTTTGGCTCTTGCTTGCATCTGCTTGGTACGAGCGCTTTGTAGTCTATTCTCATAAAAATCATTAGAGATTAAGATGAACAAGCCACTCTAGATGCAGCTTCAGTTAGATGCCGCTCGAGGTTTTCACAGCGTTTCTGAGCTGGAATGAGAAGATTCTCCTCCAAAAAGCAAGATCGCATAAATGAGAAGCAAAACCCGACCATTTAGCCCTAGGGAAAAAAGGTTGGAGAAGCGAAAGAAAACAAGGTGGCAAGCGCGGTCGTCTTCTGTGGCAATTTCATCTTTGTCGCTCTTCCCTGCGCACCGGAGTTTTATCAGAAGGTTTGCTGGAACTTGGAGGCCGGATCCTTGTACATGTTCTGCTAGCAGCGTCAAAAAGAACAGAAAACAAGCAAGGAAATATTATTTCCAGCGCAGGACCTTCCTCGTAATCTGTTGCAAAGATCTTCCACGCCTGATTGACTGCATCCACCCGCCTCTTCTTGTTCTTGCTTGTTGCCCCATTGTCTATTTCCTCTGACATGGGAAAGTTTTGTGAGAGTCCACCAGATGCATGCATGAATAAACAGCAGACCTTTGTTGTTCCTGCAATTCGAATGGAAATCAGCATAAAAATGGAAAAAAAAAAAAAAACAAATCTACCAAGCTTTGCAAGAACAAATAGAATCAGAATCACTGGCATGTAAGCTCTCCAAATAGAAAGAAATTATAGAACGAAAGTGCTGCAAGCTCAAGGCAGAAAAAAAAAATTTCCAATAAAAAACAAAGAAAACAAAAGAAAAAGCCGTACATCATCTCTTGCAAGCAGTCTTGCTCGATCGGATGGTGTTCCAACAAAAATATCCAAAAACCTAGCATGCTCATAAAGAATTGAAAGAAGCTTATTTGATGTAAGAGTTGGGATCAAACAGATCTTCCCGTTTCCTTTGGCATGTATGATCTTCTTGATCTCACAATTCACGTATGGATTTCAGGAGTGAGAAATGCTGGAGGAAGCTGGAACTTGTCCTCCAATCCAGAGGTTGTGTTTTTGGTCACCACTATCCTAGAAAGTGATGGCTCAAAATTAAAATAAAACAGAATTGAGAGAAGCAGACCAAGAGCATGGGACTTACCAGCATGCAAACAAGCACAGTGCAAGACTGTGGAGCCAGAGGACAAGATATGAGGGACATGGTCTTCTAGACAAGTGGAAAAGCTTCTTTGACAAGATGGAATCTTCGACTCAATGTGAGCGTTGAGAGCGGAGGCGTGTTTGCTGAGATGCCGGAATCCCTTGTTGACAGCGATAGGGAATACCAAGTCTTTGGAGGAGGCAAAGGTTTTCCCGCAGGGAACTTCCGTGCACGAGAAGACATTCCTCTCTGGCATTTTCTCAAACAAGGTTGCCCCTCGCGGCAAATGCCGAAACCATTGCAGTCGCTGATATAGTGTTATGCTGGGGCATCTTTTGGAAAACTCCTCGAGAGAAGAATATGCCTCCTAGTCTTGCATATCCAGCAAGCATTGATATACATGCGATTGCATTTCGAATCGAATATATGCTTTATGCTGGACATATACCCACTTCCGGCATATGCCGTAATTACGACAAGAAGCGGGTTAGCATATTTGTGGCGTGTTGTGCATAATAACCAAGCATTGTATTGCATGCAACAGTTAGCTCGATCCGGTATCTTATCAAAGATAAGTTTGGCACCTTCCAGATGCCCGTTTTGGGCATATGCATCACCATTGTAGACCACGAGAAAACGTTCTTGGCGTCGATGGTGTCAAACGCTCGTTTGGCATCACTTGCACCAGATTTGCCAGAACAACGTTCTCTCTGCATTCCTTTCGATCTGAAAGGATCTGGTTGTGTATCAAGCGACCCTTTGCCAAATTCAGCACAGTGGCGACTCACAGTTGCGAAGTCTAAATGAATGCTCTCTCTCGAGCATTCTTTAGAACAGCATTCTAAAACACTACTAAAGCCTTACTTTGATTTGAGCAAAAAATCTATTCTCTTTTGCTCCAAGTCTCGCTACCTCATCTTGCATCCCCGCGGAGGAAAACACCTTGGAGAGACAGACATAAAGCCCCGAATCCTCCGGAACCAAAGAGATCACTTCATTCGCCACCTCTCTCCCAAGACATGGACGCTACAAGCACTCACAAGAGCCGACCACGCAGGGAAATCCGCCTCGAATGGCATGCTAACTATCAAATCCCGAGCCTCCCGGAGCTTCCCGGTCCACGGTAGATCCTATCCTGTGGATCGGAGCATATGCCCAGTTTGCATATGCCCGATGCTTTGGAGCTCTTGAGAGAAATGCTCCAGTGTGGAGCTTCTCGTAACCGGAGTGGGTTCTTCGAGGAGTCGAGGGAATTGTTTCTCGCAATGCAAGACTGTGGATTGGATCCCAATGGCGAGCATTTCCATTGCATGGTTGATCTCTTGTGTCGCGCAAGCCATCAAACATCACCCTCGCCGTACGACATCTCCACCCTTGCCGTACATGGTCACCAGTGCGTTGAGCGTGGAGTTTGTACCCGCTATCCACGATGACCAAGAGCCCACCGCCCGATCCGCGACTGCCGTACACGCATCGACGGCCGAGACAAATGTGCTCTCATCTCCAGTGTGCGAATATGCCGCCACCACCATGCCACCAGCATGGCGTCAAAGGCCCGCCAGGCAGCGGCCACGCGTTGAGCACCAAGCTTCATGGGCGCTGCTGCCTCGTCCAGCACCGCCCAAGCCCATGGCCCCCAAAGATACGTGCTGTCCCTGCCTTACTCTCGACTGAGTTGAAACAACTGCCCGTGGTTTCGTCGATGGAGGTGGCGCAGCGATCTCGGCCCACGGATCCTCATCATCGCTCACTTGCGTCTTGCTTGCTTGTCTAGAAACGGTTGCTCCTGCGAAGCAAAGAGGAGAAATGAGAAACGCAGCGGAGGAAAAAGTTGGAGACTCTTACCAGTGGTTGTTTGCTCGGGGCCGTTTGTATTCGTATGGGACGGACGAGGTGCCGATGCAATGGGACGCTGTTGCGCGGCTTGTATTCTCGACAGTGATGGAGTTGCTGTGGCAGCTGCCGAGTCTTCCATGTCGTCCCATCCATCTCGTACGTCGCTCAAGGGGCGTGGTGATGCTCCACGGATGGAGCAGCGGCAGCAGTGGCGGCGATAGGTTCCGAGGACACGATTGAAAGAGTGCCTGATGTTTGGCTCGGTAGGTCGGGAACCTTGGTCTTGAGAGAGCTCACAGCCCAGCTATAGACGACAAGAGATAGTCAGCTTTCAAACGTCATAAGCATTACAAGGACGTACCCGAGAAGCCCTACGTTGCGACAGGGAGAAAACGTTCTCTCTCCGTCCTCGAGCTGCTGGTAAGTGATGATTTTTTCTTTTATCAGTTTTCAATGTGCACAATGCGGACAAGCTGCAAGAATGTTTCAGTAGCTTCAAAGGCTTTAGTCCTCACGTCACTGGACATTATTGACAAATAGTGAGGCAACTAGAATAGAAGATGAAAACTTTTTGAAACCTGTCAGCATCGATTGTCAAAGCAACAAGGCTGGAGTAGCAATCTCTACCACATCGTAGTATTGGCTTGTGGCTGTGAGGGCCATAATACCTTATCAAATGAACACATCAGTAACACATTGATTAAAGAAGGACGCATACCAGCACCCCTTGGCAGGAGCAAATCCATCCCTTGGAGCCCTCACCGTGAACGCGTTGATCAAGACTCTTTTTCTTGTCTGCACGAAAAATCTAACTTGATTGGAAGAAACAAAAGAAAGAACTTACAGAGTCGTTAAGAAGGCCGGCAATGTTTCCCAGTAAAATTGTAGTGTTCGTTCGTATCACAAGTTCTTCGTCAACCTGAAATGCGTCAGACTATAAGGAAAAAAGAAGAGAAAAAGAAACCTGCAATTTCGATAAGAGATCCTCTTTGAGACGACTGCTTTCAGAATGAAGGTTACAATGGTCTTTAACATGGAAAAAGGAAAACAAAAAAACAGTACCTTTGGTGCAAGAATGAGCATTGACTTCAACGTTAGTTCTCGTAGCAGGGCACAAGTGTCCGAAAAACCAGTCGCCAAATGCGGAAAAACCTGCGCAGGCATTTTTAGTTTTTAGATTCGAGCGAGTGCAGAGCTCATCCAAGAGTTAGCATTTCCATACTGATCAATGTTTTGCAATAAACTTGCTCGAATGGCACGGTCGGTCGACGCAAAAAGTTTTACAATAGTCGGCACAACCTGTGAATAAAGAGAGTCAGGAGTGTGGAGAAAATGCAGACCGAAACTTAAAAAAAGTAAAAGAAAAATGCAGTACGAGCACATTATGACCTTGGATGTGAGCTCGTCCCCACACAGCTCGAGTAAATACTCCTGGTTCCAGCGTTCCAGCGCAGGCCAGTCGTTGATAGCATGGGTGATAAGCACTGGTTTGTTCGGCCTCTCGAAATCGCGTACAAAGTCATCGACTGAAAGGTGGCTTCTACGCTCGATGTTGTCCCTGAAAATCCACTCGTCTTTGATCTCCACACTGGCACAGAGCCAGCTCTGGAACAAGTAGTCCGAATAGAAGTCTTCCACCTAGAAGAACATTACGAGAACCTTAGAACGATGTCAGAAAAGCAGTCATTTAACGTAGTAGTACCTTGACAGGAGAGAAATCCTCTTTCTGGCAAAGAAAAGAAACACAAACTATCAAAACTTTCTTCCAAGAACAAAGTCTCAAAGAGCACGTTACCTTTGTACAAGCCCATCGAGAAGAGAAATCCTCTTTCTGAATGGAAAGAAGCAAAAACTATCAAACCTTCTTCCAAGAACAAAGTTTTTAAAGAACACCTTACCTTTGTCCAAGCTGATCGAGCTGAGATGTAAGTCTTTCTCCAGCTTCCTTGCAACAAAAATCCTCCTTTCAGCTCCGCGAGGAGGTGGCTGAAAACATTGAATGCCTTGCTCGAGATGCCCAGATCCTTGGCATCCAGCAGCGCCAGAATATCACTGACGATCTCATCGCTGAGAGAGACTCCCAAACCCTGGATTGCAGATATTTTGCTTGCCTGTGAAGAGGAGATTCCCCAACAGCTGGACAGCAGAGTGCCTGGATGCGAATGCAAGCCACGCCAGGAGCCTCCTCCGATTCATCGCTAGCGCTAATGTTACATGAATATGCAATAAAGAATAAAACACAAGTGGAAGAGAATGGTTCATAGTCTTGGTTTTCGCGGGATTACGATTCTATTGGCCATTTCAGCCCATTTTGACCGGCGTAATCTTTCTTGTTTCTTTAGTATTTGTTCTGGGAGTTACGAAAAGGAAGAGGAACAAAATGTTAAATGTTATGATTGTGTGTTATACAATCCTTAGCACCCTTTTCTGTGCATTTACAAACCACTCCTTTGTTGTGTTTATGGTGTGAATGTGCACTGGAATAGTTTTCTTCATCATTACTGAAGTTTTTTTCTTGTTTTGGGTGCTCACAGACCCATTTTTTGGGTTTATCGAAGGACTAGCTTTGTTAATGTTCATTGGGTTTAGTGCTATACTTGAAGGAATTGTGGCAATATCTGAAATTTTTAAATCAAAGGTGAGTTGTTTTGTTTTTCTTGCCACTATTATGCCCCACAGCAAGAAAAACAAAACAACTCACCTCTTATTTAAAAATTTCAAATATTGCCACTAGTTTTCTAAGCATAGCACCAAAGCCAATAAACATTAACAAAGCTAGCATTTCGATAAACCCGAAAAATGGGTCCGTAAGCACCCAAAACAAGAAGAAAGCTTTAGCAATGATGAAGAAAACTATTCTAGTGCACACTCACACCGTAAACATAGCAAAGAAGTAGACTGTAAATGCACAGAAAAGGGTGCCAAAGATTGCATAGCACACAATCATAACACTCAACACTTTGTTCCTATTCCCTCTCATAACTCCTTAAATTGTTAGAACAAATACCAAAGAAACAAAATAGATTGCACGGGTCAAGATGGGCTTGAGATGGCCAATAGAGTCGCGATCTCACCAAAAACCAAGATTGTGAACCATTCTCGCCGCTGCATTCTCCCTGCTTCAACTTGCATAGCAAAAAGCACACATAAACCCTAAACCTTGTTCTATTCTCTATCGCATATTCGTGTAGCAGCAGTGCTAGCGAAGAGTCCTGGCGTGGATCGCATTCGCATCCAAGCACTCCGCCGTCCAGCCGCTGGGGAATCTCCTCTTCACGGGCAAGCAAAATATCTGCGATCCAGGGCTTGGGAGTCTCTCTCAGCGATGAGATCGTCAGTGATATTCTGGCGCTGCTGGATGCCAAGGATCTGGGCATCTCGAGCAAGTTTTCAGCCACCTCCTCGCGGAGCTGAAAGGAGGATTTTTGTTGCAAGGAAGCTGGAGAAAGACTTACGTCTGGACAAAGGTAAAGTGTTCTTTAAAAACTTTGTTCTTGGAAGAAGGTTTTGATAGTTTTTACTTCTTTCCATTCAGAAAGAGGATTTCTCTTCTCGATGGGCTTGTACAAAGGTAAGGTGCTCTTTGAGACTTGATAGTTTGTGTTTCTTTTCTTTGCCAGAAAGAGGATTTCTCTCCTGTCAAGGTACTACTACTTTAAATGACTGCTTTTCTGACATCGTTCTAAGGTTCTCGTAATGTTCTTCTAGGTGGAAGACTTCTATTCGGACTACTTGTTCCAGAGCTGGCTCTGTGCCAGTGTGGAGATCAAAGACGAGTGGATTTCCAGGGACAACATCGAGCGCAGAAGCCACCTTCCACTTTGTACGCGATTTCGAGAGGCCGAACAAACCAGTTCTTATCACCCACGCTATCAACGACAGGCCTGCGCTGGAACGCTGGAACCAGGACTATTTACTCAAGCTGTGTGGGTACGTAGACTTTGCTGCTGGTCCAGTTGACATGACGCTTAGCAACTATTTCGTCTATGCGAAGTCCGTGAAAGAAGAGCGGCCTCTCTACCTGTTTGATCCAAAGTTCTGGGAGAAAGTTCTGCAACTGGCTGCCGACTATGAAGTTCCTGTCTACTTCAGGGAGGACCTTTTCTCGATACTGGGGAAGGAGAGGCCCGACTATCGGTGGCTTATACTCGGGCCTGCAAGGTCTAGCTCCTCGTTTCATATTGATCCTAACAGCACTTCGGCTTGGAACGCAGAAAGGTTCCAAGAAGTGGATCCTGTATCCTCCGGGTGCTGTTCCTCCTGGTGTTCATCCCAGCCCGGATGGAGTGGACGTGGCAACTCCAGTGTCCATCACTGAATGGTTTGTGAACTTCTATCACGAGACAAAGCGGGGCAAGCATAAACCGGTGGAGTGCGTTTGCAAAGCAGGCGAAGTCGTTTCCATACCAAACGGCTGGTGGCACATTGTTATACATCTGGAAGACCCGATCGCCATCACGCAGAACTACGTTAGCAGGTATTTCTGGTGTATTCGACGTAGCTGATAGAGCGCGATTTCCGCAGAGTTGTGGAAATGCGAGTGGAATCTATGGGTACCACCTTGGAAATCCCAAAGTCCGCTACGTTGGCCGTGAGCTTTTCGTCCAACAAGATGTTCGAGGATTTCACGTCCCGGTGATATATCGGTGGAGAAGCTGCAAAGATGAAGGTACGTAAGAGCCACTACTGTCTCCGTTGCAATCTCTTAAACGGTTTTTCCACGATAATGTATCTCCTCGTCTGTGCAGATGCTCACCTCTCGTGGTCTACGAGTTCCTGCCCAGAGTACTTCTCTTTCTATGCAACATCCCAGCATCTCGACAAGATCTCTGTGGAATGCGAAACCTCGTTCAGAAACTGTTGAATGCGAGGGGCATCCCCGTTGTTGGCTCCACCGTGGTGCTGTCGTCCAGTTTACCCTTGTAGACTGTGCCAAAGCTGCCAGTGCCTAGCTTGAGATCGCTTCTGAAGCACTTGGTTGCTCTCCCCATCTCTTCTGCCCAGGTAAAGATCCTTGAGTTTTCTTTGAAAATGGCTTGAAGGTGTCTCAAATTTCTAGTGCCTGGCAGTGCGGACAATTTCGGCCGGAACTTCCAGAGAAAAAAATCCAACAATGAGAAGAGCTGGTGCTGATGATCAACGTGGAAGACACGTGTAAAGAGCAAGCTATCTTCTCTGAGTCACGAGCTTACCGGGAAGCAGAATAACGTATCGCTTTATCGCGCAGCCACCAGTCAAGGTACCATTTCCTTCGTACCCCGAGAAACACTTGCAACGAAATAACGTTCCTTCGTTGATGCAGGGTGCACACGATCCGAGGCTGACTATGTTTCCAAGCGCGCAGAGAATCAGAACGCCAAGAAGGTGCAAAAGCATAAGAAGCTGAAGAAGGAGCTCGATCCTCAAGTAAGTTTCATAGCTACCTTTCTTTTATAAAACAGAGTTTCTTTCAGAAACCTGAAGAGCAGAAGGTAGAGAACGAGGATGGTTCCAGTGGCAGCCATAGCCAGAGTGGTGGAGGACAGGAGAGCAACGGTCCCAGGAAACAGGGCTTCAGTTACCTCGAGAGGCTGAGGAACGAATATGAGAGGACGGAAAAGGAGGTGGAGGAGGAAAATGAGCAGGCTACTTAATAGCTTAAGCAAGAAAAGCTAATCACAATATTCCAAAATTATTCACGGCGCGCGAATGTCATGCGGTATATACCCCTCGTCAGCGTGCTTTTCTGGCGCAGCAAAAGGGTCAGTTCCTGGTATGGAACAAGAACAGGAACAGCTGCAGGATCATCCGCATCCTCATCGCTTGCCACTGGAAGAACAGAGTTGCTAGTGATGGTGGACCACTCGTGGCACTGTGGAGCATGCGCCGGCAGCTCATTGTCTTGGATGTCTCGACTGGCATGGCTTGCATCTGTCCATCTCCACCAGAGCTTGTGACCAGCTCCTCCTCGTCCTTGGTCTTGAGCACACTTGGATCCAGCCTTGACAAGTTCCAGCTCCTGGTTGTCTATAGCGATTCACCTTTGGCCCCCGAGCACAGCTTTCTCATCACTTCTGCTATCTTCGATTCAACAACTGGGATGTGGAGAGTTAAGTCTCGTTATTCTCCTGGATTCACTTGTCGCGAGACCACCTTGTATGGTGACTCTCGGTGGCCTGGATACAGTGCACTGGCGGGTGGCTTTCTTCATGTCATGTTTTGTGAGCCCTCTTCCTGGTGGAGCACACCGTGCGTGAGATATGATTTGGAAAGGGATGAGTGGTGCAGGGAACCGGTGTGGACGGTCAAATGGAGTCAAGACCAGGTCAAGAACATGAGAGTGCATTACTCGGGAGAGACACGGCGGATTAACGCTGATGGCCTACCTCAAGCCTTGGTTAATCTTCAGCCGCCACTGGAAGCGGGTGTGGCTAACATTACACGGCGCTCGGATGGCATCTTTCTTTATGCCTTCTTTACTTGCCAGGGATGCGTGAAGATAGTTTACATCCATGATTTTGAGGCTGGAATTTGGTATGCTCATCGCTATCGAAGGTTGAGGGACTTGCTCAAACTGAAGCCAGTTAAGTCACTTGATTATAATCATGGAGAGAATGTTGATGGCCAGAAGTGGTCCAATCTGCCTACTGACCTTCTGCAGCAAGTCGCGCAACTCTTGTGCACTGTCAGCGATATTAGAGCACTGAGCATGGTATGCCACAGGACAGGCCAACGTTTGCTCAAGCTATATCAAGAGCCCGCCCTTGTCTTCTGGAACAAGGAACACAACGAGTTATGTCTCTTTAGGTCCGATAAAGGCTGGTCAAGGATGATCAGAGACAAGAACTTTGCCCACCGTGCTCCCTTAATCACACACGGTCCCCTCTTAATCTCGTGGGAGGGGAGCACCTTGTATGTTACCAACGTTCTCAACAAAATCTTCTCGACAAAGAGAGTAATGGCTCCGAGTCCGGAAATGGGACGTATCATCAGGGTTGCATGCATAAGTCAAGAAAAGCTGCCGGTCATTTTCTATACTGAGTTAAAGGAGGTAGCTCCTGCAGTGGTTAGCTTCAATAATTCAACTCGTCCACAGTGGCAAGTTGGAAATTCTCGCAGGGGCATTGCTACATTGACACCGGTGGAGACTTTCTTTAATGAGCGGAGGCTGCCATGGCCTCCAGCTGATGAATGTGGCGCTAGGGACGCTGAGAATGTCATCCTGCTTGGGTCATATGCATACTTCATGCTGGATAGGGTGGTAGCATCCCAGAGGCAGACGGTTTTTCAATACAACTGGGAAAGTGATGAGTGGGTTTCTCAGGAGCAAGTTCAAACCTCATGCCGTGACTGCCATGACTTCTGCTCATACAGCTATCAGTTTCACGTAAAATCTCCACTCATTCAACTGAATGGACGACCGGCAATCGTGCGACCCACAATGGAAATCTGGTTTCTGGCCGACCCTGGCGGAAAATGCATCGCCAAGATTCCCCAGGAGACATGGGAAAAACTGATTCAAGTGTTAGACACTTCATATGAATACACTTATATATGGGCAGTGGGTAACATTACAGCTCCGAGAATTGTCGTCGTCTCCGTACACCAGTGTACCACCTCGGTTCATATGGTGTGCAGCATCAGGAATACTCTAGTGGCCATCATTGTTTGGGAGTTTGTACTGGGTTTGTGGGATGTCATCCCCTACTCCAACAGGGAAGATCGGCTGTGGCTCAAGTCCAAGTATTTTGCCGTTTGCTTGGAGCAGAACAGCTTGGTTATGAAGCACTTTCTAAGAAGATCATGGTTTGAGTTCCTGACCGTACCTTGGCACTTGAGAAGCAGGGACAGACGTTTTATAGAGCCGTACATTTTGTCAAGGGCGATGGAGATATGAATCGCTTGAATATGTGTACATTTTCATCCTCGTCACAATCCAACGATTTGCATGAAAGTTTGAAAGTGAAGAACGTTTAAACTTAAAAACGAGCCAATTTTCTGAAGAGTCGCAATGGACACGTTTGCGGCAGGGAAATATCGGCCTCTTATCACCAGTCGTCAATCACATTTTAGTTTTTGTGTTGCCAAACAAAAATAAGAAGCTGCTTCAAGTTAGTAAAGTACCTATAGAGCAGCACTCTAACTGAACCTGAGAAACGACCAAATGCAAAGGCAGAGAGCAAAGGTGGACAGCAGTGGTGGTGGACTTTACGTCCCTCTTCTTAAGGCTGAGAGAAAGAAGAATGCCAACTTTTTGCCCAGGAAAACATACAAAGAGAAAGATGTTTAAGAAACTACTGCTTTGCCATATTTATTTCTCATTGGATGATGTATATATATTTGATTGATTAATTTGTTCTTTTCTTTAAAAGAAAGCAAATAAGAGAAATCTGACTCTCACGTACTTGCGACGAAGGCATTCGATCATGGTCCTCGGCTGATTTAGTATCTCGCCGCCTTAAGCAGCTGCTAGAAAGGCAAAAATAAAGAATGTTAGATCTTCCACAAACTAGAGAATCGGTTTGGATTTTACACTCGAACTTGCCTTGTACATTTTCTGCTAGCAACGTCATAAAGATCAGAAAATAGACAAGGAAAAATTATTTCCAGCGCAGTGTTAGGCTCGACCTCTAGGAGATCTTCCTTGTAATATCTCACGCCCGATTGGCCGCATCCACCCGCTGCCAAGGCCGAAGCATTTTCCAAAGCTTAAAGATGATCTATCATTCATACTGACGGTCTCAAAACCAGGCAAATGTTCGACATAACGATCCAAGAAGCAGTAGGAAGCAAAGTTCTAGCTCGAGAATGGTAAGTCACAATCTTTTCAGCTCTTTTATAGTCATTTCTTTGGCATGCACGATTTGTGCTTTGAGAAGAAATGTGTTGGCAAAGTGCTATCGAGGCGACATGACATGAAAGAGGCAATAGGAAGGGAAGATCCCTGGAGGTGATACACCTCAGGATCTTCATGAGGTGACGGCTTTCGATGTTGCATGAATCTCTGTTGCTGCTAGAGGACTCTAAGATCCGACGTAAAGAAAGCAAAAAAAATGTCCAGGGATAAATCCGAGCAAGAAGCAAAGCATCGCCTTCTTCCATCACATATAGTACGAGCACCCAACCTGCTCTGCATGGTTCATGTCGTCTGCCCGAAAGTCCAATTGGCTGGCCAGCTTTTCCCGAGGCCAAGATGGAGCAGGCCGGGGGCCCAGAGCTACTCGTCTTCGTTTTGGAGAGTGTTCTCTTATTTCCCTTGCTTCTCCTTTTTTTCTCTTGTTCTTCAGTCGTGAGATTCATGAGTTGAGTAAACACGCGACGCCGCAGCTACCTCGGAGATCGGGATCGAGATCGGGATCGAGATCGGGATCGAGATCTCGTGTTGACTTTTTGTTTTTGAGGAGCCCAGCAACATGCAATAAACGGATTGTCCCACCACTCAACAGACCATCTCATTTCTTCCCCCACATAGATTCGTTGTGGGAAAAAATAAGCGTTGCTGTTCATCCCAACTCCATAATCGGGATTATACCAGCCAGGAAGATAATCCACCTTGTCCCACACTCCTTTAGCAATTGCTTTTCTATAATTTCCAATATACAAATCCAGTAACACCATAGGAGAAAATCGAGGCATGGGTGGCTGCGGTGCATGTTGTACACGTGTTTTTTAAATCCACTTGCTGGACAGACTTGGACGGCGAGTCGAGAAGCTGCACAAGCGCAAACTAAGTTTGCGTCACCGTGCACTGTAGCCCCCAATCTCCGCTCGAGTTTGAAGCATCGTGAACAACCTTGGCCGCCAAAGATGTTGGTCAGAATCCTCAAAAGTTCACGAGCACAAAAAGAATCTGGCGAAGACTACCTAGGCTTGTTGGCTCAAAGGTGTGAAGTCGGGGGTGTCACTGGTATTGATCTAAAGAGGCTGACATTCCCTGTGCCATGCTGATGAGAACTCTGCCGATCACCTGGCTTCTATCCGAGCTTTCAAAGTACTCACCTCCATGAGTGGAACCACTGCACCATATATCGCCCTCGTCTAAGAGATGATCGAGAGCAGCACTAAGCAAGTCATTAAGCTTGCATTTGAAAGAATGTGGGCTTGAGTGTGGATTTATTCTTGGCTTATGTGTTGATGGCAGGAATGTACGAGCGTTGAGAGTCATCTTTAGAGTGCTGAGCTCAACATCCCAATCTTGTTCACCTTGTGAGGATTGTTTGGCACTAAAAATATAAGTGCACCGATTGCCACCACCAAGAGAAATGGGAGTCCTTTCACGGGAATTAAGCTTGGCTAGAGAACGAGCATTGAAACCTCTAGAAATGGGTTTATAAACACAAAAAAAAAAAACATTAAAAGTGATTAATTATTTTTGTAATTCACACTTACACATGCACTTGCACAAAGTAAATAATCACAACACTTTAAATGAAATAAATAAACAAACAAAAAAGTTTAAAAAACCAGTTTTGAAAGTTAAATAAGTGATAAATTTAGATATTAACAAAAACTAAGATTGTGATTACTTTAGCTTATATAATGGTAGCAAAAAAAATAAGACAATGCAACACTAAAATTCTTTTTTCAGGTTTAATTAAAACTTTTAAATTTTTATTTATTTATAATGTGCAGATCGTGCTGTTTGGAAAGAAGTGAAAGAAATACACTCAAAGTGGTCATTTAAAAGAAATAAATTAAC